GGCAGAGGTGCGGCGAGCTGAACACCTTCAGGTGGTAAGGAGCACTGAGGGTGACACTCTGCCAGGTGTTGGCAGGGTACGGGGGGGAACAGTGATCCCACCCCTGCCCCCAGTTCTGGTGTAATCTCAGCTCACTGCAACCTCCGCCTCCTGGGTTCAAGCGATTCTTCTGCCTCAGCCTCCCAAGTAGCTAGGATTACAGGTGCCTGCCACCATGCCTGGCTAATTTTTTATAATTTTAGTAGATACGGGATTTCACCATATTGGCCAGGCTGGTCTCAAACTCCTGACCTCAGGTGATCTGCCTGCCTCGGCCTCCCAAAGTGTGGGGATTACAGGCGTGAGCCACTGCACCCACAGGCCTCCATTTTTATCTGTAAAGTGGGCACATTAAGCAAGAGAACTGGCATCATGCCTCCCGTGGAGATGTTAGCATCCACACGAAACTGTCACTGCTCCTTAGGTATGTGATGCCCAAACTATGTCCCGTGGCACCATGTGAACTCACAGAGGTGCCACAGAATATTTTTAATTTTCTAGGAAAACACTATCATGTCTGTCAGACATCTTGAAAAATGCTCCTATTAAGTTATTTGGTCTTAACTACTTAATAAATGAAACTGTTAGGTATTTCTTTTGGTATAGGGACACCATGAAAAAAATTACGGAGACACTAAGGGTGCTATAAGTTGAGAACGTTTGGGAACCTCTTTATTAGGCTCTGAGCTCCTCAAAGGCAAGGTCCATATATTGTTCACTTCCGTATATTTGCTTCCCTCATCAGAAACGAAAACTATAGCCCTAAAGTTGACCTATAGGAGAGCCCAATGTATATTTGTTGAATAAATGAATAAATACAAATTAATGGAACAAATGTGTAAATGGAGCATCACCACCACGCACTTCTGCCACTAAACTGATGGCCATCAAGTTCTAAACTGCTCAGCACAGTGAGAAATCATTTCATCCCTATCCCTCAGGAAGCAGAGCTGATCTGATTTACTTCTAAAAGCATTCACCAATGTGTCCTATCAGCTCGCTACCATGTCCTTCCTATAATCACTTTGAAGTCATGAAACTAGCTACACAGTGCCAGGAAGAACTTCCAAAAACACTCATAACTAATTCAAGTTTTACTAGTGTTTTCCGGGAGCGCCTGATCCATGTAACTTACTAGCCTCAACAGTCTGAGAATGTGACAATCTCCGTTCCTCATACCCCGTCCATGTGCAATGGGAAATAAAACAAAAACCAGGCCGAAACTTACTCGTGGAGTCCTCTTCCTTGGAAATGTGAGGTTGAGATAGTTATTAGAAATAGATGATTTGGCCAAGCTGAGGTCAGCATTTTCTCCATAGTTTTTGCGCCAAGAATCTGTTGGGAAATAAAAGTGCAACTGTGATTTGGAACCAGGCTCCAGGAAGTATGGCTATAACAAGGAGGTGTTGGCCGGGCACGGCGGCTTACGCCTGTAATCCCAGCACTTTGGGAGGCCGAGACGCGAGGATCACGAGGTCAGGAGATTGAGAGCATCCTGGCAAACACGGTGAAACCTCATCTCTACCAAAAATACAAAAAAATTAGCTGGGCATGGTGGTGGGTGCCTGTAGTCCCAGCTACTCGGGAGGCTGAGGCAGGAGAATGGCTTGAACCCGGGAAGCGGAGCTTGCAGTGAGCCGAGATCGTGCCATTGCACTCCAACCTGGGTGACAGAGCAAGACTTCGTCCCCCCAAACTCAAGATGTAAATGACATACAGATCCACTTACATGCACAGAGGCTGGGTGAATAGAGTCACCCCTGTTTGGCCTCACAGTCAAGGGGAACACACTGGGCAGCCCCAGAACAGACCATACCAGTGTTAGGAGCAGTTAGACTCAGTGACAGGGACAGAGACGGTCCAAGGGGCCAAGCAAAATCTCTGTCCAGGTGCTTACCCACGGGCCTCAGTGGGGTGCCCCGGAAGAGCTCGTAGAACTTGGAGAGGTACATGACCATGCTGAGCTCGTCAGGCTCCTGGGCAGACACCATTTCTCTGCCCGTGGTCACTGGAGGGATCCCAAACTCTCGCTCTGCCACATCAAATGCGAGCTGGTTGTTCTCCACAGCGTCGTCTTCATTCAAAGAGTCAAAGTTGCTAGAGAATCAAAACAAAGTAGAGAAATTCAGGGAGAGGAGGCAGAGGTGCGGCGAGCTGAACACCTTCAGGTGGTAAGGAGCACTGAGGGTGACACTCTGCCAGGTGTTGGCAGGGTACGGGGGGGAACAGTGA